TGTTGATTCGACTTGAACCAGACCCTGAAATAGCGAAAACCAAATTCGTTGCTGAATGTAGATCCTATTATAGCGCCTACCCAAGCATTATCACTTTTCTGGAAGACTTCGAGGAATATTATCTTCAAACCAACGTCGTCTTTTTGTACACAACTAATAATTTTCTATTTCATTTCATCAATCAAGCACTGCGTAACACTAATATACGTGCCATTCTATTGTGTCATTTTCTCATTGTCGATTTGTTTAAAGAACTTCAAAATATTTATGCTCAATCTATTGATATACATGATAACCCGCAATCATGCTGTTATTATCGTGGCCAACGGATGAGCGTTGATGAACTTGAAGAAATGAAATTGGCGACTGGGGAATTGATTTTAGTAAAGAGTTTTTTTTCGGCAACGACCGATTTGTCTGTTGCAGAGACATTTGCTGGTTTTCATGGGGCCAAGGAAAAAGATAGACAACTGTGCATTTTATTCAAAATAACGGTTGATTCGAGTGTAAAACACTCGACGTTCGCTGAAGTGGCAGCACGCAGTTCATTCAAATTGGAAAGAGAAGTCCTATTTACAGTTGGCTCCATATTCAGCGTTGAAGATATTACTTACGATATGAACAAAAAAGGTTTGGGTAATACGTATTTCCCTAATCAACGAAAATGATCAACGCTTACAGGACAAGTGTGATTATGAGAATTGGTCTACGCGTTCCCTTGCCTTACAGATTAGCCAAGTTGGTCAATTGATTCGAAACAATAGGTGCCATGGTATTCGCGAAAGTAACTTCTATTATAATCATCTATTAAAGGAGTTGTCACTTAATAATCTTTGCCGTTCTATCTGTTACTCAGACCTCGGATGGAACGCTTATATTCAAGGTGACTTTACTTTGGCCTTATCTAGCCAACAGAAAGCACTGAAGATCTGTAACACATTGGAGAAAAATGATGAGCAGAATGAAATCCGATCAGTTATTTTCAATTCTCTCGGCGTCATTCACCATAGCATGCACCACTATAAACAACATTCGACTATTACACGATCCGATCGGTCAGAATATGATGATAAAGCCTAATTACGACATCATCTTGGAACAGTTGAGTGGTCTAGCGTTGAAATATTATAAGATAGCTATTGATACCCAAGTCTCGTCTGTTCCTGTTGATCAATACTCCTCGTTACAGGAATTTCTCAACAATCCCACATTTAATATTGCTCGATGGTACAAAATGTCGAATAATTTCGAGCTTGCTCTCCTGCATTACGGCAATCTTATCAAAACAGAAAGTCTGCGTAAGAACTTCAAGATTTTCGTATTCGACAAATTGTGCAGATACTATAATAGGAACTGTGCTGCAGATGAGACAGAAGAAAACCATCGACTATCCTTTATCAATTTTAGTGCAAAGTGTCTTCCACAGTTTCATATTGAAGTTGCTGAGGCCTATCTATCAGTTGGCAAGGCTTATGAAGCTCTAGAGATCTTCTTAAAATATGCACCGTCTGAAGAAGAATCGATTAATAATTGTTGTAGGTACCTGGCAAAGAGTTCTCACGCAGAAGGCAATTTTTTACTTGAAATCGCATACAGTAAAAAAACTATTGAATTTTGTCTTAAAAACAAGCATAAGATTTGCTATCTCTCGATGCTTGCATTTACTTACAAAATTGTTGCAGATGCTTATTATTCTAGTGGGCAAAGTCTACTGGCAATAGATCACCTTAAAAAAGCAATTCAATGTTTCAAAGAATCATATGACCACGGAATAAGTCCTGATAAGCCCTATCACGGTGTGGTTCAAAAGCAACACAATGCGAAAATAATTGAGTGTTACAATCGATTAGCCGATATATATCGGGGTATAGACAATTCTGAAGCGGCTGATGATGCGGTTCGCAAGACATCAACCGATCTAATAACAATTGATGATAATTTGGAGCATGACCTTTTAATCCAAGATCTAGCTATATGCCATTCCGTAAATTTAGGACCAGAAGCACTCGATCAGGCGCTTATTGATGCCTTATTAATGGTGCAGTCACAAGTCAAGCAGACTAAAATTTTTAAGTGTTTAAATGGTCACGAGCTGCAAAGTAGAATCGTGCAGCTCCGTCATTGGAGATGTAATAAATGTGAAAGACAATATCAGGGGGATCTTCTGAGGTGGAACTGTTGTTGCTTGCCCTATGGATATGACAAGTGTGGCACATGCATCGCAAAAGAACTATTTTATTTCAACAACGCTCTCTTGGCTAATATTTTAAAGTAATCCAATGGAAATAGACTGGTGTATCTCTTAGTAAAAAGACAAGTTCAATCTGCCGCTCTCAACTTTTTCTTTTCAGTAATCGACTAACGAGGGAAGGTCCACAAGTGTGAGTCTCAGTTTTTAACGGGACATATTGCAGTTTGTAGAGCTCAATGAGCTGAGTCTTGTGGTATGTTTCGTTTTTCCCCATGGAGCTTTAAACGAAAGGAGTCAATCACTTTACTACTAAATTTCACTACGTCACATAAGGCTAAACATATTTATCACAAATTTTATATTATCAGCATATTTGAATCGTTAATAAACATTCATGCATAGCTACTCGGATCTATGATAATTCACTTATTTTCATTGTCATAAAAACAGAAAAATATCAATTTCGTTGCTGATTCAATCTAATGCCTGTAATATTAAAAATTACTTATGAATTCCAAGAACCATAGAGATGTGTATAGATTAACGCATTTTCAGACATTATTTCTTTAGCATGTAGGAACACATAGTCAAAACTACCAAATTCGATTATCTAATTTCATTTTTTCTAGCAATGTCGTCGTTAAAAGTTGTATATTTATTATATCGCTCATTAAGTATAAATCATATTGCCATTCATCCGCAAGGGCCTATGGGGAAATACGAAGCATACCACAAGACTCAGCTTATCGAGCTCTACAAACTGGAATATGTCCCGTTAAAAACTGAGACTCACACTTGGGGACCTTCCCTCGTTAGTCGAAAATAAATTTCAAGTATAAATCGCATGCTCTTGAACGAAGATAATATTTAAAATAAAATGCCGAGTTAAACTTTTCGACGATGCATTCCGTCTTATTCAATTAATGAATAAAACACTCACCAGGGCTCTGTATAACATATTTAAAGCGCGTTAATAGAAGGAAAACCTAATTGAGAAAAAACGAAAGAAAATAACATGAAAGCAGTTAAGAATCTTTTGGGTGAAACAGATAAAAAGAGAAAAAGAGGAAGAGAAAATGTAGCAATTTAACGAGCAAGCACTGTTTATTCGAAGTAAAAATTCAATGCATTTTTCAATTGAATATAAGTCTGATCTAGGAATTTATATTATTATTGTAAATTGAGAGCAAAATTTTCCAATATATATCTGAATCATCATTTTGAAATACAAGTGTGCGTTGTACATACTAAACATTAGTTTATTAATTTGAAAAGTAAGTTCACCGAACGAATTTTTAGATAATTCAGACCTTTAATTTCAAAAATATCGACACATAACTTTGAAAAAGCAGGGTACGGGTGTTATGATTCCTGTGTCTGTACCAGAGCTATGCGGGATGGCCAATAGAGATGTCTCATCCTGTCCCACTCAAACTTTTCCCGCGAGTCCCGTCCCGTCCTGTTCTGTCCCATATCGTCTTCCATGTAGCTGTGTTTATGCACATAAAGCTAACGTTTCTATGATAATTCAACAAGCAAAACCTAGAATTAAGCATTCACTTTCTTCTGGAAAAATAACTATCGCACTATTTAATGTTCATCAATAACGTGTACATATATGTTGAGGGTGTGGGTGTGTGTGGGTGTGTGTTTTGAAGCAGACTACGACGCGTTTCGATCTTGCTTAAGGATCTCATCAGGTAGTTCTGTCTTTTGTAACCATTCAAGTGATTGGAAGAACATTCATTGATTTCTCAATCAACATTGGTAGGTGGAATCTTTTTTGATTTAAATTTTAGGTATAAGGAGTGACGTAATTGGCTGTTTTTATTGATTTGCGTTCAGAAATTCTTTAAGTATTGAAGGTGTTCGGGATTGATGCGTCACTCCGTTTTAGCTATCTTTTTTGAGATCGTTCCTAATGGTCGATTTTTATTATTTTTTCGAAATTTGTTATTTGGCATTGAGATTCTCGTGCTTTTAGTGTGTTTATCGGCTTCATGATGGTTTATTTGGTGCTATGATTGAGGGGATCATTGGGAAGTAAATGGTTTTTCGTATTTTTTTCATGTGCATATTTCTGAGTGTTGTGCTAAGGATGGAGCTAATGTCGGGATTATAGCATATGTCTTATGGTGAACGTAGATTTTCTTAGGAGCTACCGTTACTTTTCATATTTTCTTTCAATAGAGAGATGTTTATTTTTATTTTTTAATAAGAACATAGAATGTGAAATATACTATGTTATTGACTCTTTTGATTGGATTGAATATTCGCTGTTTGTTCATCCGTCTGACGGTTCGTTTTGCTCTCTTGATTGTTTCTTGGACGCAGAATATGTTTGATCATTCTTGTGCACAGTTCTTGCTTCAAATTATGATTCAGATAATTTCCGACAGTAAGAGCAGTATTGATAACTTCGGTTCCTTGAAAAGCACTGTTCCACAATTCGTGAATGTGTCGGGGAGTGTTCCGGAGTCGTTTTTCATGTCTGCGATGAATTATGAGACTTTTGCCTTTTCTTAATTTGTAATTGTCTCCTGGTTGCAGAAGCTGATTTTGGATATTTTCATCGGGGATTTCATCGGTAGTTGAAATTTTGGTTGTTTTGTCGCTTGCTGTATTTGTTGATGCTGTCAATAACTGATGACGTAAGTAACGGAAGTCATCAGATATATTGAGCATAGGCAAAATGAAAGGTTTGGATAAATACCTACTGAATAATGTAGTGAGCCGCCAATCGATATGTCTTGGTGGGTACCAATAAGCCACATACAAAGAATGAAAAGCATGATTGAATACAGGAAACTCACCCATTATAGAGAAACATGAGTTTCATCTGTTGTATTTCTTCTTCGAATTGAGATAAAGTTGTTGAATAACGAACTGCTCTCGTGATAGCAGTATCAACAGTGTTTCGGAAAACATGGCCAGGATGATCTGACCCAAATGGTACGACATATGGCTCTGCTGCCTCTTTATGATATACTGAAGTTTTCAAAACTCCGTTACTGTTTTGAATAAATACATCAAGAAATGGAACATTTCTACCTATTTGTCGCACTAGCTTAATGTTTGGATGAAAGTTATTAGCTTCTTCTAACATTTGGTCGATAGATTCGAGTGAATCGTTCGACGTAAAGAAAATGTCATCAACATATCTAAAAATGAGGCATAATAGTCAAAGTATATTCTTTTATGAACTATGTTAAATACCTGCCGTAGATTTCATTCGATACTTCTAGTCGATGAACAAGCCGTTTCTCCCATTTCCACATGAAAATATTAGCTAGTGTCCAAGTAAATGCTGAGCCCATTGCGCCACCAATGACTTGTTGATAGAATTTCTTCTCTTAAACAAAAACGTTTTCCTTAATGACGATAATAGCTAACTTTCGAATAATGTCGATTGGAATATTTTGAACTTTTTGATAGCCATGTTGAGCGAGAAATTCAATTAGAATATCAAGTGATTGTTCTTGTGGTAACATCGTATATAAATCTGTAATATCAAACGTGCACAAATAAGTTTTAGGTTTGAGATACCCATTTGTTGTGTATGCTTCTAAACGATGAATCAAATCAACTCCATCAATAATTGTGGTTGAACGTGCATGCTTATCAAATATTGGACGGATTATTTTATCCAGAAACTTTGAAATTCCTGTCGTTGGCATATTCATTGATGATACAATAGGCCTCAATGGTGTTCNTACGCTTCTAAACGAGGAATCAAATCAACTCCATCAATTATTGTGGTCGAACGCGCATGCTTATCAAATATCGGTCGTATTAATTTATCCAAAAACTTTGAAATTCCCGTCGTTGGCATATTCATTGATGATACAATAGGCCTCAATGGTGTTCCTGCCTAGTAAAATGCGTGTAAGAGAGATAAGTATGAAAAATTAGAAATGAATTACCTTGTGAGATTTTGGAATGAAATATAAATAAGCTAACTGAATTTTTTCTCGCTTCGGCATCATTTTATCTAGTTGCCATGACAGAATATATTTTTTTGAACGAAGATGATTGAGGAAAAAAATAACTTTATCAAATACACTCCATAACGGATTAGAATCTAATTCAATATAAGTGCCAGTTTTTTGTCGATAAGCTTCTGCTTTCTTTTCATAATCAACTGAATTGCCAATATGAAAAACTCCACTTTTATCTGTCACACGAAGATTATAGTTTCCTTTCTTTAGTCTATGTTGAATCGACTTCATTAGTTTTAATTCTTTTCGTGTTCGAGATATGTTTAGATAAGATAATGGAATCATATATTGTTGATGTAGACTTGCTTCCAATTGTTGAGAAAATTCTCTGATAATCGTTGCTGTTAGTGGAATATGATGCTCACAGATAAGATAACGAGTTATCACATTCATAATGTTCTTATGTTCTTGTTGTACATGTTTTTCTTGATGTTTATAAGAATGAAGCGAACTTTGATTTGATCTGATATAATTAGGCCCTTGAAATAGAAAACGCGTCAGGACATGAATATATAAGAATCAATTAACGATTGAGATAATAGTATAAAAGAAAGGTATCGACTTACCACTTTTGGAAAGGTAGTCTAATTGAATTCGATTCAATGATATTTTAGGAACATCGGCAATGATTTGTGGATAAACATCGACTATTTGCTGTTTCGATAATAAATGACGACGTTGCTGACGTACCAATTTTACATGGACACATGCTTCTTTGTAACGAATTTGACGTATTAATCGATTGGTGTAATGACTCAAATAGCATTTCAATAAAGTCATCAATATATCTGCTTGAATATGTTGATGGTTTACGCTTGTTTGTATGAGTTTAGATTCAAATATATTGATTTCTGTTTGATACAAATTTTCGTAATTTTGAAGTTTCAATTCATAATTTTTCAGCTGATCATTAAGTTTTCGACGTTTCAATTCTTGCATAATTTTGTTAGCTTCGTTTCCAAATAAATTTTGATATGTAGCGATTGAAATGTCATCAAATGTTTTTGGTAACGAATGGCATAAAATTCGTTGTTCGAATATAGTCAAATCTTCGAAAATCATTAACTGCTTCTTGCGCATAGTGATGATTCGATTGATTTCTTGATACTATACAACATAAAGCGATAACTAGAAGGCTCTAAAGGGTTATAGTTACTTGTACTTCAGTTAAGTGATAACAAGATAATTGATTAAACAATCGTTTTTCATAGATAATGTCTTTTAGCTTATTTTTTTGATAGTTGACTGTTCTCACTAAATCAATATGATGTAAACGAACAAAGTCTTTCAATTTCTGATCTGTCATCTCTAGAGAATGTAATGTAGTCGGACAAGATAATAGCTGTATCATTAAGTCGTTTTCATGCTGATTGATTCTGTTTTTCAACAATATCAAATATTCTTCTAGTGATTTCTGGATCTTATCACTTTCATTTGATTCCATTATTTGAACTATATCATCCTGTAAATGAAAGTAATAGTATTGTGTGAACTGAGACAAAGTAGATTCAACTGACTGGTCAGATCTGATACTGTAGACCAAAATCCAAATACTTTTGATATAAGTGATGAATTTGATGAAGACAAAATTGTTTGTCAAATAGTTCAAGTCGTGAAAGTGTAAATCGTTGTTCTTTTTTTCTTTTTATAGAGCAATTCAATTGAAGACGTAATGAATGCAAAAGAAACTTTCGTGGCATCTTCAAGTATCGTGATGACTTATAAAAAGAAATATTATCATTTGCATTCAAGCGATTGCTACTATTATCAATAGATGATTTCGTTTCAATCTGAGAATTCTTCATTTTTTTAAAAACTCCTTGTGATATGGACGACTGGCTCATTGATATTAAATATTTGTTTGATAAGTTTTGTTTTGATGAGCTTCTTTTTCGTTTGTTGAACGTTTCAATTTCATCATTCATCATTGACTCGTTTAATGATTGTTCAGATATATCATGGTCTTTTGTATTAATCAATGTCACAATTTCTTCTTCATTCAAACCATGTGTTCTCCATTTTCGTTTGAAACGTTGTAATTTCTTATTTCCATGACATCTAGGCTTTTTATTGTCAATATCTGTTGATTCCTCGCCATGTATCTGTGCTGGTGATATCACTTCCACTGTGTCGTGTTGGCCCTCCTGCAATAGCAGATCGCTTCCATGAAAAAGGTTGTATCTGTCGTTGTTTTGGTTCATTTATTAATTATTTAGTCAAAGATTAGATTTAAATCTAAAATAAATAAAATATATGTGTATAAGTGGAGGCGGTTTCGATTGCAAAAATAGTTTCATAAAAAAGCGCAAAGATAACACAACAACAAACAAATAATTTTCTCCAGCAGAGCATGTAAACTCTAGCATGATTTATCAAGAAAATTCTTATTCATTAATTCTCTTGTAGACGACTACACCAACGCTGAAAAATACTAAAGATGGTATAATGGCTACTGTTGTTCTTCCTATTGTAGTAGGAAGGTCTATCGATACAAATAATCTCCAAATGGCTATTGAATATGATCGATTCGGCAAAACGTCTGGGATACTATAGTACAATGACTGTTTTTTTCAGAATATGACATGAGTGAATCAATAAACCAAGTAACAAGGAGCGTAGTATTACTATATATAGGTAAGGTGCGCGTAATTCAAAATTACAGCACTTCTTATTTTTTGCTTAAATATATATCAATAGATTCGGTGTTTCAAGTTGATCACGAATATCTACTTACTTTTTCGATTCGAGAAAATCTTCATGGAGAAAACGGCAAAAAACTGAGAGGGTGTAAAAATCAGCAAAACAATTGCTTTTTGGGAAACAATGTTTATTTTTTTCCTGTTCAACTTTCACTTCTCACCGATTTGATTTTCTAATTCCTCGTAGAAAAATGAGTCTAGATATGTTATTTAGCGCTTTATCACATGTTGCATATTCAATTTGAAAAGACGAGCTTTCAATATGACTCTGATTTTTACTCGTTCATTTTGTAAATCTATCTAGTTTTTTTTCTTTCAGAGATAGAGCTTTTATTCATACACCATTCGAAGCGCCATTTGACGAGCTACAAAAATATGGCTCGATTTTTTTAATATCATTTTCCTATGTTGAGAAAATGTGTCTACAATGGTAGCATGAGAAAAATCGATCTAGTGATTTTTCAATAAAAAAACATTTTCTCATTGAAAACTCGTAGAAATACGGTTGAATAGGTAAAAAACGATTTGGAATTCAATGAAAATGGTTTCAGTGCTTTTGGAGTGTAGTGAGTCGACTTTTGAAACTTCATTGAGCTATACTCCGTTAGAATTGAGATTTAGGTCCTCTTTTACACTTTTTATCTTCTTTTATTGGTATGACAATACAAAAAATAGCTAAACACGAATAAGAACCTAAAAAATAGAATAGATAAATATTATAGTAATAGAAGAAATTAAGCATACACGAAGTTATATATATTAATTGTCAAGATTAGTGTTTGTGATTTTACGATGACTGATGATTTGATCATTACACAATCCACTAAAAAACATTCTTAGTACTTCAAGATAATCTTTTCCTTGATCGTATGCTTTGATCGTTCTCCAAAATCGACGAAAAAGTTTGAGGTGAGCGTGCTTTTCAATGAAATTTGCTTTTGCTTCAGGCATTAAAGTTGTTAATTTTTGAAAACTTTTATCTGTATGTTTTCTTATATACTGTTTTGAGTGACACCAATATCCTTCAATGGGATTAGTTTCACAATGGTACTTCGGCATAAAAATTATTTTGATATTATATTCAGTCGCTAACTTTGCAAGTTTGCTGACCTACAATTGAAAAAGAGTAGATAAAGACGTGAATTACTTATTATATTGAATAAGAAAATAAATCTCTACTGACGCTTTTAAAAGCTGCATGTTGCGATAGCAGTAATTTTAAATCATTGAGTTTACATTTTCTTGGGACAAAGACATTCAATTCATTTGCTATAGCCAGTAAACCTTTACTGTATCCATCATCATCATAACATTCGATAGTTTGTTTTTTATTGTTGTCATCAATATAATCGATCTTATCAACAGGACACCGGGTCCCCGATCTCATTCCGAAAGCATTCAGATGGATTTCAGCTGCTGTGTGAGTTCTTGAATTATCGACGAAGCATAAGAAGTTATGACTTTTATGTTCTTTTTTGAATGGTAATAATTGAAATAGACGTTTAAATTGATTCAGAATACTTTGATTATTAAAATAATTATCGCCACAGAGGGCGATTGCAACGGAAGCACTATTCTTTTCATAATTTATATCGCAATCATCATTTTAATTCGGATATGCTTTCAAGGCCTCTGAATACTCTTTTTCGGTCAACGAAAAGAATGGTCCACTTGGATGCATTACTAATAAATCCGAGCACATTATGCTTCTTCCTCTGCCTTTGTTGTAAAACGGCGCTATTAGTGTGATGTCGCAAGCTGACATTATCCCTATTTCATATAATCCTCTAGCTTCTCTATCTTCTATCTTCTTTCATCTTTATTGGTATTCTTTTTTCTTGCGTTCTTTATATATACATATTATGTAAAGTTTTGGTTGATATTAGAGAATAAAGTTCGTGCATAAAGATCATCAGCACGTTTACCTAAATCGATAGGAGAAAGGGAAAGAGAAACCTTAACAATTGGCGACCCTGCAAAACAACATCAATAATGTAAACAAGAAATTAAATTATTACTCGATTAAATTATTTAACAAATTACATTCATTAGAACCTCTTATATAGAGATTCAAAAAAAAAACAAGGAAAGAAAAAAAAACATCAACTTCTAGAATTCGATTATCTCGTTGTGCTACGATCTAACATGCATTATCTTGACCATTAGGTGAGAAAATTTTTATTTATGTTACGTATCATTTGTAAGGTATACTTTTGAGTAAACCGTTTCTTTGGGATTTCAAACGATAGATTCTTTTTAAATTTTTCGGGAACCAAAAAAAGTGAAGTCAAATGGGGAGGGGGAATCGAAATCAAATTATGTTAAGACTATTGATTGAATCGATAATACTAAGCAGAGATTCTATGAGAAGAATTTCGTTGATATATATATTTCATATTTTATTAATTCATTATTGATTAATTATCGTAACATTAATTATTATATATTACCTACATTCATTACGGCTACCGGAACAAGATTTCAAATTAAAAAAAAAAACGGGAACTATTATCATATAAAATTATTACCGATTCATTACACCGTACAAAAGCCAAAATTAAATTTAAACACGATTACAATGGCTGATCAGACATTATTGCCAAAAGTTCGAAAAGCTCGATTCGATGATTTACCAAATTTTTCGGGACATCCTTCGGAGGATGTCGAACGTTTTTTAAAAAGCATTAGAAATATTACAAAGGCTAACGATGAATCAGAAAATCATGAAATTCTCGAAATCGTTCGTGGAAAATTAATTCAATCCGCAGGATTATGGTTCGATAGTCATGAACATGATTTTAAAAAATGGTCAGATTTTGAAACTGCATTTCGAAATCGTTATTTTTCATCCACAATGATTCATAAAAAATTTGATTTATTGAAACAACGAAAACAATTGAATAATGAACCAGTTACATCGTATTTTGATGATGTTGTTAATCTATGTAAAGAAATTGATCCAACTATGTCAAAACAAATTATGATTAAACATTTAATGAGTGGAATTAATCCTGCTTTACAGAAAGAACTTTCGCGTCGTGAATCATCTATGAATGCATTAAATGAATTTTTAAAATATGCTAAAATCGAACAAGATTTATATGATACATTTGAAAAATTTCATCGATTATCAATAGAATCTACAAGAACAAATCTTGAAATTAATCATCAACAAATTCCTTCATTGACCAATATGATTAAACGACCAAAACAACAATATCAATTTATGAATAAAATGAATCCTCATTCACATTCATTTACAACACACAGATCCGATTATAAACGGAACTCGAATTATCAATATGAACCTCGATCAACATTAACACGTGATAAAAACATTCAACATAATTCACACAAACATGAATTTAAATATAAAAATTATGTTAATAATCAATTCAGATCACAACAACCATTTCAACGATGTAGAATATGTGGTCGACAAAATCATCGAACGATTGATTGTTTTCATAAACAAACAACCGGATGTTTTAATTGTGGTCAGGATCATGCTGTTCGTGATTGTACAATGCCTCCAAGTTTTCAATGACTGGGCCACGTGATGGCTGTGTTCTCAGTAAATTTATTATGCCATCACCAATGACATCTTTTCCCGTTTACATCAAGATTCGTGTCAATGATCAACCAACCGAAACAATTGTTGATACAGGATCCGCCATATCAATTATTCGTTTAGATTTTCTTAAAACCATTCAACACAACAATTTAATTTACCAAACCAGAACATGCCAAACAGCAAATTCAACATCTCTTAATATTATCGGTCACATTAAATTAGAAATAAAAATTAAAGCTATATCAACTTATGTAATTGCACATGTCGCAACAAATTTAATTGCATCTATTCTTTTAGGTAATGATTGGATTAATTCGAATCATATTCATCTCTTTGGCGACCAAAACCAATTAACTATTCCTGATCAACATGGTCAATTAAATATAATCCCATATGTAGAACCTACATGTGTTAATTATCCAGCTCTTTTAGTTCATCAAATTACTATTCCTCCATATTCACAAGCATTAGTCGATATTACATGTAAAATTAATGATGCTAATGATTTAATATTTGAACCATATGAACATCATATATCGAAATTTATTTTCATACCACATACATTATTAAACACTAATAAACATCAAGCCAAAATACTACTTATAAATGCTCACGATCGACAACAAACATTACCAAGAAATACACGAATCGGAACTATTTCTCATGAAACAACATATTCTATATTTACAACAACGGAATCTCCAACAACACAAAATTATTTTTTAAATGAAAATTTTCAACGGTCATCTCGACATTTCCAACATTCTAAGAGTGGAGCTGTCTTAAACAAAAAAGACAACTCGAATTCAACAAAATTGAATATTATTTGTGATTTATGTAATGAACATTTTTTATCTGGAAATGATCTACAGAAGCATCTACGAGCACAATGTTATTCCGATCAAATTCGAAAACAAATACTTGACTCAACTAAACATATTGAAAATCCAAAATATCAATTAGCAATTCAAGATATATTATGGCGAAATAAAATACTATTCGATCCGACACCATCAACTATTAATATTCCTCCACAATCAGCAATTAAAACAGGTGATCATCCACCCATTTACTCGAAACAATATCCCGCTTCATATAAAGATCAAGATATTAAATTTCAAGAAACGCAAAAATTATTAGAACGTGGTCAAATTGAAGAATCAACTTCTCCGTGGTCGTCACCTATTGTTCTTGTTAAGAAGAAAGATAAAACTATGCGATTTTGTATTGATTATCGACGATTAAATGCTGTTACAATTAAAGATGCATTTCCACTTCCTCGAATCGATGAAATATTTGATCAATTACCTGATGCCGTATATTATACCAAATTTGATTTTAAATCTGGATATTTTCAGGTGCCTCTATCTAAAGAGGACCGTCCAAAAACTGCATTTTCAACTCGTGATAATCATTATCAATTTACAGTACTTCCACAAGGTATTACCAATGGACCCGCAACTTTTCAACGTGTAATCAATCATATATTAGGACCTGCTCGATGGCAATATGCATTAGCCTATATCGATGACATAATTATTTATTCGAAAACATTCGAAGAACATTTATCACATCTTAATGATATTTGTACGATATTAAAAAATGCTCGATTCCGTCTTAATCCAGATAAATGTGAAATTGCTCGAACTCAAACAGATTATCTTGGACATAATATAAAACATGGTGAAATTCGTCCAAGTCCAACTAATATAAATGGTTTATTGAATACACGATTACCACAAACTCCAGATGAAGCTTGTAAATTTGTCAAAGCTGCGGAATATTATCGAAAATTCATACCAAAATTTTCACAAATCGCCGAACCACTTAGAAAATTTGTTCCAACTACACGAACTCAACAAAAGAAAGGACAAAAAACAATAATTACATTAACAAATGACGAAATCAAAGCATTTGAACAATTAAAAAAATTTCTTACAACTGATTTGGTATTACGAATTCCAAATAATAGATTCCCTTTTAAAGTACAAACTGATGCTTCAGATGAGGGAATCGGTGCGGTTTTATTACAAATATATCCAGAAGGTGATAGACCAATTGCTTATCTTTCGAAAAAATTTACTCAAGCACAACGTAAATGGTCTCCCATGGAACAAGAATGTTATGCTTTTATTTGTGCATTAGATAAATGGAATAATTATTTAAATGGAATTAAATTTATTTGGGAAACTGATCACAAAGCATTAACACAATTAAATCAAAAAGCACAAATTAATAAACGATGTGAGCGATGGAGATTAAAAATTTTAGAATATGATTACAAGGTGAAATATATTCCTGGATTAACAAATTCTATGCCTGATTATTTATCACGATCTCCAGTTGATGATGCTGAAGAAGATCCTGATGAAATATCATTTTCCACTTCAAAATCAACACAAACTGATTCTGACTTTATTAATTACCATTCACCTATAGTTACTGCTGTTCAAACTCGTGCTATGAAATTACGAAATGAAGTTATAAATTATACAGAAGATAGCACAAAATTAATCTCAGATTCTCTAAATACTTCTATTGAAGAGAATCGAATAATTCCATTTTCAATGGAACAATTAGGTCAAGCTCAACAAAATGATAATTATGCAAAACATATTCTGAACAACATCAAGAATTATAAAAATTATACAGTAAAGGATAATATCTTAATGCGAAGATCGAATCCTCCAGTTCCTTATGTACCACAAGGTGACCTACGACGAACAATCTTACACATATATCATGATACGGCAGCAAATGGTGCTCATTTTGGAAGGAATAAAACTTTACACAAAATTAAACAACGTTATTTTTGGCCATCGATGTATAAGGATATTAATAATTATATTAAATCATGTATTCTATGTGCTCAATTCAATCCTCGTCGACAAAAACCTCCTGGTACATTAAAACCAATTAAACCTCCTGATGGAGTATGGCAATTAGTTTCTATGGATTTCCATGGACCGATTAATCCAACATCACAACGTGGAAATAAATATATTATATCGTTTACAGATGTATTATCAAAATTCGTTGTCACGAAAGCTGTACGTGATAATACAGCTCAAACAGTCGTGAGATTTCTTAAAGAAGATATTATTGCAAAATTTGGAACACCTCGCTGCATACTTACCGACAATGGAACTCATTTTACATCAACCGTAACGAATGAATTATTTAAACAAATTGGTACCACACATTTATATTCAACGCCGTACCATCCACAAACAAACGGTCAAATTGAACGCTACAATTCAACTATGGATGCTAAAATTGCAGCACTATCGAATTTACATAAAACTAATTGGGATGATCAATTACCGTTCGTTACATTTAACTACAATACTTCAATTCACTCATCAACCAAGCATATACCGTTCGAAATGATGTACGGTCGATCGCCCGTTTTACCATTTGATCATCAAGATACCAACGTAACACTTTCATATGATAATGAACATGTGAAAAAACTTAATCAATTTCTATCAAATTTAAATGAACAAGCAAAATGTAATATTATTAAACACCAAGAACAATACAAACAACATTATGATAGGAATCGTTCTAATCCAGTATACAATATTGGTGATTTAGTTCTTGTTAAAACGCTCAACATCCGTTACAAATTTGATCTTCGTTATGAAGGACCATTTAGAATTATTAAAAAAATGACGGAAAAAACATTTATTATTCAACACGTCAAGAAACAAACATTGTATCGTCAAGTTACAACCGATATATTACTTCCAATCTTCGAACGAATTTATTAATTTTAGGACCTCTCTAATAAAGAGATCCGTCATATTAAATGATATCTCAAATTAAATTGAATAATTATTTAAAATTAGATTAATCTTACTCGACATAATTTAGCATAGCATGACCGGGGAGTGTGATTTTCCTCCACTCACTGGTTATGAAGGGCTATTATACTCAATTGGAATATTTTTATTATTAAATTAATTATTTGATTATACGAAATTAATTATTGGATATAGCTTATATTACATTCTTCTCGTTAGATTCTCATCGTGCACATTGAGAATCGAGAGAGAACCAAATTTCGTAACAACATGTCATTGAGATAGTAAAATGATTAATGAATTCACACCAACAGATTTTTCTTTTCTATAAAAAAAAAGAAGTTTTTCCCTCTCGTAATGCATATTACAAGCAATCGATAGATTCCTATGCTCTATGAGAATCGATCATTAATAATTCTAGATTCACTTTTAGCGAATCGACATCCATTATATTCACATATATTTCTTATTTCTATTATAGTCATGTTGTCGAACGATGAATATCGAGACATTAAATGGAAACTCGACAATATTCCATCGACTTATACTGGTAAATCGCGTCAAAATTATAGTAAATCGCTTCGAAAAAAATTAAAAGAACATCACTATGCTTCAACATATCAACCATTTACACCATTACCACATACTCTTCATTATATTAATCGAACAACATCTGAAGAAACATTAAATCAAATTAATCAAACTGTAACAACATCGCTTTATTTTACATTAGATACTGAATCTATACAAATTCGTCAACGAAAAAACAAACCAGTATTAATTCAAATACAAGCATTAGTATCACATCATTTTTCTGTTATTTTTATTTTCGAAATGTGTCATTTACCTCGAGAACATACAACAACATTTAATTTAATTAAAAATCTCATTACAACAATTTTTAATAGTAGTAAACCTATTTATATTTGGGGCGAACGTGATGAATTAACCCCATTCGTCATTTATAATTTATTTTCTGCAACACAACTTTCATTAACTAATTTTCAAAATTTACAAGATAAATTTAAAGAACAATGGCAACAACAACATCCACATATAACCTCAACAATATCTTCATCTGATCTAACACCTGAATGTGTATGTGAAAAATGTATCGGAAAAAGTTCTCACGAATTATGGTCGTTACAGGACGCTGTTAGTTATGAATTAAAGGAATGGCTTGATAAACGATCAACAATGTCATATTTTAATATTGGATTAGATCCACAGTTATCTCAACTGAATCTTAAAGAACAACAAGATCGACAAAAATTAACAAATTATGCCGCAAATGATTGTTTATCCATGCAACGTTTACTTATTAAAATGCAAATCATAACAATCGCACCTACAACAACAACAACAAATATACATCCATCAAATATTAATCATGAGAATATCGAACCAATATCATCCGATGAATCTGAACCTGAACGTGAACCTGAAGAACAACAATCACAGCGAACGGTAACATTTAATACACCATTATCTATTTTAGAACCTAAAAAACACGAACAATTATCAAATGAAGAAAGGAAAAAAATACACAATCGAACCTGTACGATAAAGCAACGACATCGCTATTATCGTCATGAATTGACTTTTCGAAATATAGATCGTCGCTTTACCATACGAAAAATCAAGAATATACTTCGACAATATGATATTTCGTTTTATGCCGTCAATGTATCAACATCAACAACAACAAATACAAAACAATTATACGTTGGCATTCGGGATCCATCATTAATACAAGAATATGACCAACGAACACGCACGCTATTCTCGACACATCATTACAATAAAATTAATTTACGCCAACGTCGATATTACTCGTCTTCTCACTCAAACCGTCGTCATTAATTATATTAACATTAGAGAATATATATATGAATTTCGTCGTTTAAATTTTTCTTCATATATATATATATATATATCTTTAGTATATTTGTTATACTGGTTATACTTGGTCCACTATCATGTATGTAAAACATGTTATGAATTTTTGTTTTTGTTTTTTCTATATTGTTTCACGTTATTTTTTCTACTTGCTGTTATATTTGTGATTTACATTTGAACTGAACTTAAACTTTCAAACTGTTCTATGGTTAATCGTTGTCCATGTTTTCTTTTTGGTGATTTCGTTTTCTACGTTTATTAACATTGTTATTTTTTCTTTTTGCTCATATTGTTATTCACTTCTATTTGTACTAGTCATTGATTCATTTACCCACAACAGTAAAAAATGTGATAGGATACATTTTTTTGTCCAGTTGGGGAGTGTTAGGGTGATGTCGCAAGCTGACATCATCCCTATTTTCATGTAATCCTCTATCTTCTCTATCTTCTCTCATATCCTTTCATCTTTATTGGTACTCTATATTCTTGCGTTCTATATACATATATATTATGTATTGTTTTTTGTTTTTCCATTCGAATAAACATCGTGCTTAACACCAGCACACACTTTAATCCTAACAATTGGCGACCCTGCAAAACAACATCAAAACAAATAAACAAGAATTATATTATTATTCGATTTAATTAATTGTCAACTTATAATTAACAGAGCCTCTATTGATTAGAGACTCGTCTATATCTCCTAACAAAGCCTCTTTATAAAGAGACTTGAATCGTGAATCATTAGAGCCTTTTAAAAAAAAAAAAAAAAAGACTCGTATTATCTTAACATTAGATTACTCGACTTGGTTTATACGTATAACACTTGTTTTCATTATTAGGTGAGCAAAATTTTTTCTATTATCTCTTCATATTGATTATAAACGTAAGGTATACTCTTGAGTAAACCGTCTCCTTTGATTTTTGAAACAAGAAATTGATATTATATCTTTACTTTCATGGACTTGAATTTGAAAAAACAGGGAAACTCAAATACATCAGTAGTAGATTCATAATTGTTTACAAAATTCTAAAGGGAGATTCTGATAAGAATTTCGTTCATCAATACATTTCTTGTAATTCATTCATTTATTAACTGATTTATTGTGATATTAATTATTATTATTAAAACACATTCATTACGGCTACCGGAACAAGAGTTCAAATTAAAAAAACCAAACGGGAACTATTATCATATAAAATTATTACCGATTCATTACAACGTACAAAGTCAAAATTAAATTTAAACACAATTACAATGACTGATCAGACATTATTGTCAAAAGCTCGAAAAGCTCGATTCGATGATTTACCAAATTTTTCGGGACTTCCTTCGGAAGATGTCGAACGTTTTTTGAAAAGTATTAAGAATATTACAAAAGCTAACGATGAATCAACCAACCATGAAATTTTAGAAATTGTACGTGGCAAATTAACGCAATCCGCTGGATTATGTTCGATAATAATGAACATAAATTTAAAACATGGTCCGATTTTGAAATACAATTTCGAACTCGCTATTTTTCAACAACAATGACTCACACAAAATTTGATAAATTAAAACAAAGAATTCAACTACCCGATGAACCAGTTACATCTTATATTGATGATGTTATTAATCTATGTCGTGAAATTGATACACATATGTCCGATTCAATTATTATTCAACATTTAATGAGTGGTCTGAATCCTGATTTTAGAAAAGAAATTTCTCGACGCGAATCATGTATGAATACATTAAGCGAATTTTTTAAATACGCTAAGATTGAACAAGATTTATATGATACTTTTGAAAAATCTCGTCATTTGACCCTTGAATCGAAACACTCGAATTTTACATATAATCATACAACAATTCCATCATTAACTGCTATGATTAAACAGCCAAAACAACATTATCAAATTATGAAAAGGAATGATCCTATTCGTCATGATACATCAATGCAGAGATCCATGTTTAAACGGAACTCGGGTTATTCACCTGAATCACAATCAACGTTTACATCAAATAAACAAATTCAGATGAATTTATCACAAAAGCCATTTTACACAAAATATTCTAATGATCAATCAACATTTCAACATCAATTTAATAATTGCAAAATCTGTGGTCGACAAAATCATCGAACAATTGATTGTTTTCGCAAACGTACAACTGGATGTTTTAATTGTGGACAAAATCATATTGTCCGTGATTGCACAATGCCTCCGAATTTTCAATAACTGGGCCACGCGATGGCAGTGTACCCAGTAAATTTATTAAGCCATCAACAATAACACCTTTTCCCGTTTATATCAAGATTCATGTAAATAATCAACCAACTGAAACAATTGTTGACACAGGATCCGCTATCTCCATTATTCGTCTCGATTTTCTCAAAACTGTTCAACATACCAACTTTATATATAGAAGTCGTATATGTCACACAGCAAATTCAACACCTCTTAATATTATTGGTCAAGTTAAATTAGAAGTAAAAATTAAATTTATAACAACTTATGTTACTGCTTATGTCGCAACCAATTTAATTACATCAATTCTTTTAGGCAATGATTGGATTAATTCAAATCATGTTCATCTCTTTGGTGACCAGAAACAATTAACAATTCCTGATCAACATGGTCAATTAATTTCAATCCCGTATGTGGAACCTAGTGGCATTAATTATCCTGCACTATTAGTTCATCAAATTACTCTTCCTTCACATTCACAAACTTTGGTCGACATTACATGTCAAGTTAATAATGATCACAATATTATATTTGAACCATATGCACGTCATATATCGAAATTTATTTTTATTCCACACACATTATTGAATATTAATAATAATCAAGCCAAAGTATTATTAATAAATGCACAAAATCGACAGCAAACATTATCGAAGAATACACGAATCGGAACCATATCTCGCGATGCAACATATACTATCTATGCAACAACACAAGTTCCAACAACACATCATATTAATTCTAATGAACATTATCGATCATTATCTCGAAATTTCAAACCACAAACAACCAAGGCTATTTTACACAAAAAAGACAACGCTGAAAATGAACAACTGAATACTATTTGTGATAACTGCAACGAACATTTTTTATCTGGTAATGATCTACAAAAACATCTACGAGCAGAATTTTATTCCGATCAAATTCGAAAACAAATACTTGACTCAACTAAACATATTGAAAATCCAAAACATCAATTAGCAATTCAAGATATATTATGGCGAAATAAAATACTATTCGATCCGACACCATCAACTATTAATATTCCTCCACAATCAGCAATTAAAACACGTGATCATCCACCCATTTACTCGAAACAATATCCCGCTTCATATAAAGATCAAGATATTAAATTTCAAGAAACGCAAAAATTATTAGAACGTGGTCAAATTGAAGAATCAACTTCTCCGTG